CACGCCCCTTCCCTTTAAGCCCCGCCCATTCTCTTTTAGCCACGCCCCTTCCCTTTAAGCCCCGCCTATTTCCTTCAAGCCCCGCCCCTTCCCTTTAAGCCCCGCCCCTTTCCGGGCTGAGGGAGAAATTTGGGGCAAAAATCGGAGATTTTGGGGCCGGATTTTGGCGGGAATTTGGGGATTTTGGGGAATTTTTGGAGCTTTTTGGGGAATTTTTTTTTTTTTATTATTTTTGGGGAATTTTGGGGTTTTTTTTTGGGATTTTATTTGATTTTTGGGGATTTTTTTTAATTTTTTGGGGGATTTTTTTGGGAGATTTTGGGGATTTTTTGGGAATTTTTTTGGGAATTTTTTCTTATTTTTTTGGGGATTTTTTTTGGGATTTTTTTGGGAATTTTTTTTATTTTGGGGGAATTTTTTTTATTTTTGGGGATTTTTTTGGGAGATTTTGGAAATTTTTTTGGGAAATTTTTTTTTATTTTTGGGGATTTTTTTGGGGGATTTTTTTGGAAATTTCTCTTGCGTTTTTTTGTGGATTTTTGGTTTCATTTTTGGAGATTTTTGGGGGGAAATTTTTTCTTTTTTTTGCTATTTTTTGGGTAATTTTGGGGGACTTTTTAAGAGGATTTTTTGGGGCATTTTTTAGGATTTTTGGGGATTTTTTTGGGGGATTTTTTTTTTTTTTTTTTGGGAATTTTTGGGGTTTTTTTGGGGTATTTTTTGGGATTTTTTGGGGATTTTTTTTTTAAATTTTTTTAAATTTTTTTTGGTTTTTTGGGGGTTTGGAAGGAGTTTTGGAGGGGATTTGCCGAATTTTGGGACTTTTGGGCAGAACTGGACTCGAGGAGGAAAAAACCCCAAAATTTTGGGTCCATTTCGTCACTTTTGCTTTTTTTGGGGCCGTTTTTGCTGAATTTTGTCCCTTTTTGACCAAAACCCGCGGGATTTTTTGCAGATCCCGGGGTTCTGGGACAGAATCCCCACTCGCTTTTATTTTTTTGTGGGTTTTGGAGCTTTTTTGGGGCATTTTTGGGGCATTTTTGGGCCGTCCCGGAGCCGCTTTGGGGTAAAAAGTGCTTTATTCGCCGGTGACGTCACCACCAGCCAATAGGAACCGCGCGCGGGCGGAGCTCCGCTCCTCGGCGCGGTGACATCACCACCAACCAATAAGAACCGCGCGCGGCCTGACTGACACCTCCACCACCCAATCCCAAGCGAGCGGGGCGGGCTTCCCCCCGGTTCTGTGCCGCCCAATCGTAAGCGGCGGATGGTGGGATTTCCGTTGATTGGCAGCGCTCTCAGCCAATGGGAGGGCGCGGCGCTATCCCGCCGCCACTGAGGCGGCCACGATGGCGACCAGGACCAAGATGGCGACCGAGGCGCAGGCGGCGAGAGCCAGGCGCTTCTGCGGACCAGTATAAACCAGTTTGGACCAGTATAAACCAGTACGGACCGGGATAAACAGGTTTGGACCGGTATAAACCAGTACAAACCAGTCTGGGCCTACCCACAGAGCCGCGGCCTACCTCCCAGTCCCTCCCAGTCCCAACCAGTAGGCCCCAGTTACCCGTCGGGCCGCCCGCTGGCGAAGCCCCGCCCCCCGCAGGTGGCCCCGCCCCTTTTCCAGCCGCGCCCCCGAGCGCTGCACGTGGAGCTCGATGCGGTCGATGACGTCACCCTGCAGCAGTGGAGACCGGTGTGGGGTGAATGAACCAGTACAAACCAGTATGGACCAGTATAACCAGTATAGACCGGTATAGACCGGTATAGACCAGTACAAACCAGTATGGGGTGAATAAACCAGTACAAACCAGTATAGACCGGTGTGGGGTGAATGAACCAGTATAGACCAGTATAAACCAGTATAGACCAGTATAAACCAGTATGGACCGGTACAGACCAGTATAGACCGGTATAAACCAGTATGGACCAGTATAAACCAGTACAGACCAGTATAAACCAGTATGGACCGGTACAGACCAGTATAACCAGTATAAACCAGTATAAACCAGTATAGACCGGTACAGACCAGTATAAACCAGTACAAACCAGT